CTTTCCCAGTATCTCCCTATCCGGCTTCGGCACCATCGACCACGACCTCCACCGACTCCGGCGCGTCCCCCTAGCGAAATTCTTCTCCCGAGCCATGATCACACGGCTCGAACCCGAAATCCACAGCCTAGTCCAACAGCTCTGCGACAAACTACTGCGGCAATCCGGCGACAACGAACCCTTCGACATCGCCATGGCATACAGCTGCTTTACTTCTGACGCCATCTCCAGTTACAGTTTCGGCGAAAGCTTTGGGTTTCTCGATCAGGAAGGGTGGTACCCGAATTTCCGAGAGCCAACAGCCGCAGTGCTTAGACCCGTTTTCGTGTTTCGGTTTTTTCCTTGGACAAGTAAGAGTGCGGCGCTCGCGACGACTTTTATCGATTATTTGCCGAAGGATATCGCGCTGATGGTAAAGACTTTGCAGGTTGATTTGCCCAAGAGAGTGCTCAAGGCTAAGGCGGATCTTGACGCGGGAATCACGTACGACCGACCTACGATCTTTGCTTCGCTCTTACAGTCTGACCTCGGCGCTGGGGATAAGGGCGTGGTGCGCCTAGTCCATGAGGCACAAGCTGTACTGGGTGCCGGCACAGAGACCACGAGCTGGGCTCTGGCCGTGATGACATACCACCTCCTAACCAATCCCCAAATCCTGTCTAAGCTCACCCAAGAACTCCAAACCGTCGTAGAAGACCCGCTAAACCTCCCTGGATGGACTGTCCTGGAAACACTACCTTATCTCGGCGCTGTCATTCAAGAGGGACTGAGACTATCCTACGGCGTGTCTAGTCGTACAGCCCGTATTCCCACGGAGGAAACACTGCTGTACCGTGGCGAATGGAACAAGAAGCCTGTTGAATACGTTCTTCCTAAAGGCTATGCGATCGGCATGTCGTCGTACGTTACACATCACGATGAACGCGCTTTTCCTGACTCTTATACTTTTGCGCCGGAGCGGTGGTTGGATGAGAATAATCAGAGGAGGAAAGAGCCGGAGCGTAGTATACTTTCTTGGTCGAAGGGAAGCCGCTCTTGTTTGGGGAAGAAGTAAGTGGACTGTGTTTATCGTGAGTTGGAGATGGATTACTAACGTTGATCTTGTAGTCTGGCTTTGTGCGAGCTTAATTTGTGTCTCGCTGCGCTGGTGCTGCGTGTGATACCGAAGATGCGATTGTTCGATACGACGGAAGAGGATGTGGCATATGATCATGATATGTTTGTGCCGATGACGAAGGATCATAAAGGTGTAAGGGTTACAATCGAGTAGTGTAATTAGAGGGTCACTCCATAATATAAATGTGTTAAACCGCTCGACGCATACGGCAAAGGTTTCTTGTTCCTTGTTCGTTGTCAGAATCCGAATGTCGCTTTTGATTTGTGGTATCTCATACTGAAGATGACTCTCCTTTGCGCCATATATGCGTTCTCCTCTTCTTCTCTCCACACAAAACACGCGCTCTGGCTCTCTCCGATGCCCGCTACAAATACTCCTTCTTCCTTCCCGTCCTCGTATACTGGTTGAGATGCCACTCCACATCGCCCTCTTTATTATCCAGCGTCCCCGCCCTAATCTCAAATAGCCTCATGCTCATCCTCGGTCCCACCTCCGCCAGCTCCACAGACTGGTACCCCGTCTTAACAAAAACATGGTGCCTGACCTCAATCGTATCTTCAATATTCTTGAACGTGACGACGCGGTTGCCAACTTTAGCGGTGGCTTCGCGGGGCGGGAAGAGGTGTTTTAGGATCTGGACGCAGCGTTCTCCCAGCTTGGTGCTGAAGCCTTCGAAGATCAGGTGTGGGTAGGATTCGGAGACTGTGCCGCGAGAGGCGTTGGGGATGTCGGCGCGGAGGACGACGTTGCTGGGGTTGTGTTAGTAGATAGACGTGGAATTGGGTCGAAGTATCTTACTGTAATGAGAAGCTGGCGGTTGGGCCATGGGGAAAATGCGATACTGTCAAGGCCGTGGGTGTTCCTCTGTGCTCGTGGAGAAGGACGATGTCGCTCAGTCCACCTGATTTGGCGCTTTCGACGAGGTTTGGTAGGACCATGTTTCCGCGGTTCAATCGTATCGACGTAGGTAGCAATAATCGAATCTCCTTGGCGAACGTCCCCAATCTACTTGACGGATCTGTTCCAGCATTAGTATGTCGCTCTGTCTTCCCAGCTGGCTTAGGTTTATGTACCTCTCGAAGTTGTGACCAATATCCTGGGATCCACCACGCCCGACAACTGCGCATACTCGTCGTCAAGTCCTAGCTCTTCCTCTGCCGTTCTATCCGCTCTGCTCTCATCGTACTTGAAATCTTGTCTTAGGTTCTGGTCGTTGGCGACATCCTTGGAGAGTGGCTTGCCGCTGGCGAGCGAAGCTTTCAGCGCTGCTCTTTTGGAGGCGAGTTCGGCGTCGCGTAGGGTAAGCGCGCGGCGGTAAAGGTAGTCGCGACGTTCTCGGGCTTGTTTGCGGATCATGCTGGCGGTGTGTGGTGGGTAGTGAGTGGATTATCTGAGGCTCATGTAGGAAGTTGGAAAGTTCGCGACCGAGCGACGAAAAGAAAAGTGGGTCGTGATGCTTATCGATAAAGTCCCCCAATGCGAATACCTCGGACTCCCGATTTCACTGAACAGATATCATCAGAATATACAATATCATCAGTCCATAAATTCCTTTATCGTAACGTACAGCGCATACCTCCAGGACACGGCTCAATTATGTACAAGAATGTCAACTTTCATGCCCGCCTTCTCCCGGCCTGGACGCACAATCCCGCTCTCCATCTTCATAAACCTCATGCAGTACTAGACATATCCTGGCCAAAGGAATACTCATAGACCGTTCTCCGAGATCAAATATTCACGTCGAATCTCACTCAATCATTCACCATGAAGTCCGGGGTCGATCCACGGAGACCACGTCCACCACTCTAGGTGTGGTCAGCAAGCTGCGACATCATGCCCAGTCAAAGACAACACGTACCGTCAAAACATCCACGTACTATTAACCATCGCATTTAATCCGCTTAAGCTCTGAAGCTCTGCCCTCTCCGCCTAGGAGGATACTCAATCTCCGACTCCACATCCCAGCACTCGTAGAACGCAGCCCAGTCACCCACAAAGTCTCCGTCTACGGGGCCATAGTATTTGCCGATGGGATACCCAACGCCGCGGGTTGATTCGCTGTAGAAATTGCACGTGGTGCCTGAGTCTACGTGGTAGCTGACAGGTTGGATGTAGTAGCCGTCTGCTCTGTCCTGAGTGATGACGCGGATGTTGTTTTGGCCGGTGGTGTCGAGCATGTAAGTTTTGCCGTTGCAGTCTGTAACGTGGCCGACGGGGCTAAAGGAAGTTTAGTCTATGAGGTTGAGGTTGAGCTGAGCTGAGGTTTGGGACTTACGGAAGGGCTTCAGCAGCGATAGCGAGGGAAGAAGTGAGCACGGAAGCGAAGATGAATAGGGTGGAGAACATCGTGGGGAACTGCATGGTAGACGTGTGGTTCTTGGATCTTCACTGCAGGAGAAGAACTGTGACTGCAAAGAGGTTTATAACCTGATGCGTCAGGAAGACAATTGCCGTTGTTACCCAGCTACAGCGTTGCACAAAGTCGAGACCGTGATAGCGCCTTCCCAACACGAGCCCGTTACCGTGGAACGCGAGATAAAGCAAAAAACAAAAAAAGCATCTTAGCGCGCTCTGGAAGCTACAACGCGTCCTCCAAGTAGCTAGTTCGCTGCATAGACTGTATGTATTCGGCAAGCTTGGAAAGTTCCTGACGCTACAACCCCCAGCATATATAGCATGCGCACGCTAGCATTCAGCCCTTCAGCCTTGAGTGAGGGGTCCAGGCGAGCAGCTGTAGTAGTTAGGCGCTTTCTTCCAGCGCCGCTCTTCCTTAGTTAGAAGCCCACTGCAGCGCGAGAACTGGTCGATGTGTTCGTCTCCGCCGTTGTTGCATGTACCCGAGTCGACGGCGCTGAGATGGATGAGTATACACGTGTATGTTGTTTTGATTTCGCGCCACCTACTAGTACAAGTAACAGTCGCAGTTGAACGCCTTGAATCCAGTGATCTCCTTGTAGTCTTTGACGGGAATACAGCCACCCCATTCCAGACGCTGGTGTACTTTGTTACCGATCCAGGTTTCGGCGCAGATATCTCCTTGGGTGTGACATTCGTCACGTGCGGCGAAGACGCTAGGGCTCGGTCGGGAGGATCGAGGGGCGGCAAGAGTGAGCGAAAGGAAGCCGAATAGGCCGAGGAAAGAGTAGAAGTGATACATGTTGTCGGGGCTGTCAGGGGTGAGTTGTAGAGAGGTGTTGAGTTCTGTCAGCAGGAGTAAGAGTCGATCCGCGACTTCTTATATCGAGATCCGGGAATGCGCCAAGCCGATGCGTGAATCACTCGAGGAATGTGCGAACGTACCCGTCGAAGGCCCGGGCCGCGCCTCCCTCGCCGTGGGTCCAAAATGTGCGGGGAACTACAAATTCGCTCTTGCGAAGCACTGATCGACGCTCGCGTATATGCGTGTACATTGCCAGCTCATCAATCGACGCACCTGTGTGGCGTATCTGGGGGCCGATACACCTCTTCGAACGTCAGCTCCAACCATTTCAGACCCCACTCGTGTCGGGGTCTTTGAGAATACCGTGCCGCAACGATGGATCTTTACCGGGAATTGAGTGACGCGTGAATGTGTTCGCAGGCGGTTCACTCGTCATGGGCGCGGATAGTAACACGATGAAGGTGGCCGGCTATTGCATTACGAGTAGGTTGTAAGCGATCCAGGCTGATGTATCATTCACGCACATACGTATATCTGGAGACCATGACGAAAGAGATGTTTTGTTTTGCTGAGTGAAACATGATTTGGCCTACCAAAGCCGTAAACATACATTATCGCTAAGAAGCCACCACTAATGCCAGCATTGCCATGCTGCTACGACACCCAAAGATGTGACGAGCGCCAATGAATCCGGCCACATTCGAGTCCGCTATGATGCTATCAACCCAAGGTTGCACACCTGTACCACTTGGGATTGGGATCCTCGAAGCAGGGTTCATCGCCGGGTTCCCCGGTAGGTCCCTCATACATAGGGGGATTGGTTGCTCCTTTGCAGTCTTCTTCGCTCCTACAAGGTAGTTGTCAGCCACTGTTATTGTCCTGCAGATACACGAGTCCAAACAGCATGTAGTTGCCAGACAGTATCATGGTCTCGCGTACGCAGCGTGTCGAGCGATACGTATCTCTCAAAGTTTGTTGTACTTACAGATGAAATGAACATTCACAGCCTCCAAACAAGCTGTAGGCGTACGCATCTTGAAATCCCGGGATCGTCTCATTGTAGTAGATTGCTGTACACTCGGCCTGAGCTGGAGGGTATGCTGAGATACCGGCATAGGCGCTACTGTTCCGAATGGTGAGAACGTAACCGCAGTTGTATGGCTCGCCGTAGAGTTCGGGAGTGGTCGATACAGGAGCTGAAAGTGTGATGGGCAAGCTGGGGAGCAAGCTTGTGAGGAAGATAGCAAGATACATCTTGGCTTTTGGTGAGTTTCGCTGGGATGAAGACAGTATATAGAATTGTTGTTGTTTTGAAGGCGTTTCGATGCGTAGAGTGAAAAGCTTTGAAAGACAAATCTAGAAGGCCTCGAAGATATCTTTGATGTTTGCGTTGGATGTGCTTGCGTTTACTGATGCCCGTGGTGAGAGGATGTAAAGCAGGTCTAAATACCACATGTGAATCGCGATGAGCTCATTTCACCATCTTCGCCAGTGGTAACCGAGCTGTCAGTATGCAAGATCCCGTCATCAGCATGGCTTTGGTACTCCCTCCCTTGCCTATCATGGACGTTGAGCGTCGCACACATATACCGATTCCATGTCACCTTCGCCATCTTGACGAATGCGCCTAAGACGGTGCCCTATCAAGCACAGTAAACACGATCAGGAGCCATATGCGCAATGTGTCGGTCAAGCCGAGTTGACGTGTTCGTATGTATGAGCAGCCTGACCGCCGAACCGCGCCTTTACGGTGCGACGCTGGAATGTATTCGAGACAGTAGTAGCAGTAGTATGGCGCAATATCTGTGTCGATAACATAGCTTTGGTGTGCTTGGCGCGGTTTGCTACTTCATCTCTGCAGGATCGCGATCACCGATTGGACGGCGGCAGCGGTGAGTATAGCTAGAGGTGTTACTGCAACGGTATGACGAAAGAAAACGACGAGAAGTAGCGCTTGATGCAGTCGTACCAATCCTCTATACGGATGTATTACGAACAAGTTTAGCAGCATCAGTACGGATACAGCTGGAAACGAAAACGGTATGTTACAGTGTATGCCGTGTTCTAAATATCCAGGATATGGCGTCGAGAAGAGTGGACATGTGCCATCGCGCATGAACCATGAGCTCGTAGCCAGCAGGTAGCATTCCGAAATAGTCCTGTATTTTAACATCTTTGTGGTAACTCACGCCGATCGATATCAAGAATGCAAGATAGTGCATACCTGTACGGCGGTACAGGCCACGAATGGTGAGCTTGTTTGTATTAGGCTTCGGACGAAAACTTGATGCCGAGGAGGTCGATGTGACGTGACGCGCGGATTTTACGGCATAGTAGAGGTGGTCAGGAGACGTGGAAGGAAGACGCATCAATGTTGGAAGACGATAAAGAGGGGCGGTCTTAGCGTCCACGTGACAGCGCGAGATCTCGACGACGCGCCGACGTTGAGCATGTCGACAATGGACCAAACTCCCGAAACCACATCCGAACTCAACTTTTGACAACCTTCCAAAATGAGCCGCGCAAGCATAGAACAAGCTCTTACGGGCTTGATACCCACATTGAGCGGCCCACTGCCACCCGAGCTGATAGAATTGGCGCTCTCCCTGCTCACGCGTTCGCGAAGCGTTGCGACATCCATGAAGCCTGATGAGGAGATCGCACGACCATACGCATGTGCACAATTAGCATGTGAAAGGTAGAGAATCTGGGAATTCGTATACACATCTGATACTGACCTCCAAAGGCTAAAGAAACGTCTCAACCTCCCTACCATCGCATCACGACCGCCCTGTCCTCCACGGATATACAAAAAACTATACAACTACCTCAGCAGCGCACTCCCCGACAGCACAACCCCTCGCGAACCAACAACACCGAACAAACCAAAAGCCTCAGCCCCCGCATCAGCACGCAACACGCCAAAAACGCCGTTGAGCGCAAGGAAAACACCGAGAACCGCAAGGAGGCTTGATGACAACAATGGCGAAGCACCGGAATGGGTGATGCCTACGATCCGCTCCCTGGCCAAAACGTTCGAATACACCAGTTTGATACCACACGTATACACAGGCGTAGAATCCATCTACCCCCTCCTATCCCGCATGTCCGCCGCCGCCGCCGCCGAAACTCCCAGCAAGCGACCGAAACGAACTACAACCAACACTTCGTCGTCGGGAGAAGTCAGAGACACACGCGTACTTAGTCTCATCGTCGTGGTGTTTCTCCTCGTCTACTCGCGCATGAAAGACATCGACGTTTCCATACAACAATACAACGAATGGCTCGCCAAAGCTGTGAAAGCCGTCTTAGTCCTCCCCGCCACAAAGGACGTCGAGGATAGCGAGCTACAAGCCAAGATAGAAGAGACGATGAAGATGGCGAAGGAAGATGGGTGGCTGCAGATGCAGTGGTTCGATAGCGTGAAGCCGCAGGGCGATGGGGAGGAGATGGAAGGTGTAGAGATGGGCGATGGTGCTGCCGCGGCCAAGGCGAAGGGTATGGGGCTGAGATCTGGTGGGAGTGATTACATTGGGTTGGGGACGATGATGCAGGACGCGACTGACTACTTGGGGGAGCGCCAGCAGGACGATTATATGAGATGGAAGGAGGATATACTAGCGAGGGTACGTGAACTTGAGGGAGCTGCCTAGCGGCGGAATTTGCGTTGCGGAATACACATCACTGAATGTTGATAAGTGTATACTTCCAAAGACGATGTATTCATCCACCCTACTTATAATTTTGCAGAATACGATACAGATTGGAGCCTTTCCAGGATGCTAGTGTCATACCGCAAGAGATTGGAGCAAGTGCTATTAGATTCTGGGGGTTATCCGCACCATGTTCTACGTACATGTCTACTCACGCAAAGCCCTCCCTCCCCCTCCAGCCACGCCCGTCCTTCCACATGCCACACCCAGCTCTAGGCCATCATGCTATGCAAGCGAACCAGATTTGTCCCGTTGTCCCTAACGCTAATGAGCTTGGAGTCGATCCGTCCAGTCTCCCTCTTGACGGCAGCGTCGTCTCCGCCCGGCTTCGTTACCTCATCTTGTGGTACGTCTTCAACAGCGAAGAAGATATGCATATCGAACGGGAGCCTCCGTTTCTTGCTAGGAGACGGCTGATTGGTCACAACTGTTACTTTGGAGATGCGTTTGATGCCGAGTTCGGCTTTGTGGGTTGCCAGGAAGTATGCTGCTGTCGCACCGATAGGTGAGGCTAGAGGTAGTCAGTATGGTTTTAATTTACAGCCGCAACCTGAAATCTAGGCCGGGAGGTCGTCAAGAATTTCCTGGACGTTAGACTATCTTGCCAGAACACAACGTATTCTGCAAAGGGGTATATGAAAGTGAGGTTGCTTACCAATGAGTGCCATGTATTCCTCAGTTCCAATTGGGAATACAGCACCCGGCCAGGGCGATAACTTTTTAATGCCTTTGTTCTTCATGGCCCGAGCGACTAGGAGACAAGTATCAGGGTTGATGACATGGTGAGCGGCGTACATGCGGAAGTTCTTGATATTGGGGTTGTCGCGAACCCAAAAGCCCCAGAAGATGTCGGACGCGGTACGAAGTTCGGGCAGCTCTCCGGGGTTTGCTGGCCGACCCCATCCCATGTTACCAAGAACAGCATGGCCTGGACTCTCGATGTTCGTTGCCATGATGCCTCCACCGTTTGCGCCGATGTTGACAGTGAACTCGTAGAAAGCGCAAGTTGCCTGGACTGTGTCAGCTACGTGCTTTCAAAATCGAACAATGCTTGTTTCATCAAAGTCTGTGACAGCTACAGGTGCTGTTGGATCGAGTATGACATACCAAGTATTTTCTGCCCGCAACGTGATAATCCTGGTCTTTGCAAGCCATCATACCCCCAAATTGGGGGCGTGGGTCCGGTAGCCGATCTTCGTCATAGTGTGTAATCTTGAAGCATTGATTGCTCCCATCCACACGGTCGCCATCTTCGTCAAACTTTGGTCGCGAGTTGAGACCGTGGCCTTCAAACGCCGTTCTGAGCCCCTGGGCTTCGAAATCGCCATCCCAGCTCGTGTCAACCTCCGCTTCGTGCCAGTACCACAATGGAACCTCAGCTCTGAGCTCGCCGGTCCATTTGCTCGCTGCGGAAGGCGGTTGTCTTGTATCTCTCGAGAGCCACCCGGCGCCTCTGTCGGTGGCCTCCATGAGACACTTCAAGTGATGTCCTTTGTCCAGGTACTTTTGCCATTTAGTGTCATCGGCCCAATTGCCTGGATTGAAGTCGCCACCATCGGTACGGGGAGCGAGAGCAGGGGGAGCGAATTCCGGAGCATTGAACTCTGGAGGGCTGAACTGGGAAGGAGCGTCCGAGGAGTCGATACCGAAAGTTCTGGTAATCACGGGACTGTCGACATGTCTACCTGCGATCAAGGCGACGAGCGCGATAGTGACGCCTAGAGTAATTCGAGGCCTCATAACTGAAAGTTTTGAGGTGGGTTGTGGGATGTTGCCGAACACTGATGGTGCGTGGTAGACATGGAAAGAGCGTTTGTCGCCCAGTATACGCTAACCGCACCCAGCGGTGAAGTGAGTGAATCGCAGGCCGGCGAGAGAAAAAATAGACTGTTCCTAGCGCCATGACCTTTGAAACCTACACGACACCCGTATTCCAAGCTGTAAGTCATCGCCGACGAGCAACTCACAATACTGCACCGATACTATCAGGTGCTCTCAAATACGGAGTACCGCCAGTTCACGAACCCCATGCTCCGATGAGACATGATGAGACATGATCGAGCTCCCACAGTCAGTATACCCCAAGACAAATACATCGTAACGTAATTTTCGGAAACTACACCCACGAAACCAACGTCTCCGCCACGCGTGACCCCATGCTTCAAGACCATATACCTGAACCGCCGAGCTCATCATGCCCCAAGACGACTACATCACAACATGGTCATCAGAAACTACACCTACGAAGTCGATGTCGCCGCCACGCTGTGCTTCACTCCTTATACAACTCCGCAGTCCTCACCCTCCCCTCCTCCAACACCGCTTTCACCATCTCCCCATCCCTCGGAACAAGTCTAACGCCAAAATCCCGTGGAATAGCCACTAGCGCACTCTTAATAGCATTGTAATCCACATAATCTGTATTCGGCGGATTCGTCACACTAGCCTCAATCCTGTACAGACTGAGCAGACGGAACAGCGCGGCATATATGAGCTTGCTTGCTATCAGAGCGCCGGGACAGGACCGTGAGCCAGCGCCGA